TTTGTTGTTTGTGATAGTTGTGTAGATAATGTCAATCTATCATGTGATGAGATGGATTGGGTGGTTGATAGTGGTGCTTCTACTCATGCAACCTCGAGACGCTGTCTTTTTTCAACTTACGAGACTGGTGACTTTGGGGTTGTTCGTATGTGAAACAATGGGCAAGCTAATGTTATCAGAATATGAGACATTTGTGTTGAAACTAACAATGGGACAACTCTAGTTCTCAAAGGTGTGAAACAAATTCCGGAACTTTAACTCAATCTTTTATTCGTTGGAAAGTTGGATAATGAAGGATATACTAATTCTTTTTTGGGAAATGAATGGAAGTTATAGAAAGGCTAAATGGTGGTCGTTAAAGGAAAAAGGAATTATAACTTGTATATCGTCCAACTTAGAGTTTCTAATTTCTTTATCAACACTTGTGATAATGATAGCTCATCTGACTTATGGCACAAGCGTTTGGGTCATATGAGTTAAAAAGGTTTGAGTATTTTGGCTAAGAAGAATTTGTTGTATGGTGTTTCCGATACAAAGTTGAGAAAGTTTTCGCATTGTTTGGCAGATAAGCAAAGGCGGGTTTCCTTTATGTCATCCGAACCAAATAGGAAATCATAAGTTTTGGATTTAGCACATTCTAATGTGTGGGGTCCGATGAAGACACAATCACTTAGTGGTGCATTATACTTTGTGACTTTCATTTACAATTATTCTCGAAAAACATGGGCTTATACCTTGAAGACAAAAGATCAAGTGCTAGATACCTTCAAGTCGTTTTAAGCATCAGTTGAAAGAGAAATAGGGAAAACGCTCAAGTGTATCTGAACCTATAACGCGGGAGAGTATGTTAGACCTTTCTACAAGTATTCAAAATATCAAGGTATACGTCATCAAAAGTCTCCTCCAAAGACACCACAATTGAATGAGTTATCCGAAAGAATGAATAGAACTTTGGTGGAAAGGGTGAGATGTTTACTTTCTCAATCAAAGTTGTCGAAATATTTTTGAGGAGAAGCATTGAGCATGGTTGTACATATTTTAAACCTCACTTCATATGTTTTGTTAAAGTTTGATGTTCTAAATCATGTTTGGAGTGGTAAAGATGTTTCATACAACCAACTCCGGGTGTTTGGGTGAACGGCTTATGTGCATATTCCGAAGGATGAGAGATTGAAATTGGATGAGAAGTCGAAAAAATATGTGTTTGTTGGGTATGGACTTGATGATTTTGGGTATCGATTCTTTAATCTGGTTCAACAGAAGCTTATTCGTAATCGTGATGTCGTATTCATGGAGGATTATACCATTGAGGACATCAACAAAGTTGAGAATAAAGATCTAACTTTTAAAGATGAAGAAATGGTTAAAACAGACTCAAATACTATTGCTCCTACCCCTATCACTTTCAAAGATGTTCCCATTGAAAATCAAGTTATGAATTTGAATGTTGAAAATGTTTAAATCCTAATGATATTGTTAATGTAGGTGCTACGGAAGACGTTGTTGAAAATGAGATTGATCAAGAGGTTGAAAGTTTTGAGAAACTGATTTCTTCTAATGAGTTAAGGCGGTCTACTTGTGATACGTTATGTTCGATATCCCTCGAACGAGTATGTTTTTATTACCGATGGTGGAGAACCCGAAAACTTTAAAGAAGTTTTAGAGGATGAGAATAAAAAGGAGTGGATCGATGTCATGGAGGATGAAATGCAATCACTTTGTGAGAATAATACATTTGAGTTAGTGAAGTTTCCAAATGGTAAGAGAGCATTGAAGAATAGATGGATTTATCGGATTAAGCAAGATGAGTGTATTTCTCAAAGAAGATATAAAGCTCATTTGGTGGTAAAATATTTTAAACAACAGGAAGGTGATGACTTTAGCAAGATTTTTTCTCCGGTTGTGAAGATGCAATTTATTCGAGTGGTTCTTGGGAAAGCCGCTAGTCTTTGATTTAGAAGTAGGGCAAATGGACGTGAAGACAGCTTTCCTTCACGGTGATCTACATGAAAAAATTTACACGGAGCATTCGGAAGGATTCTGAGAGAAGGGAAAATAAGAATATGTTTGTAAATTGGTAAAAAATATTTATAGTTTGAAACAAGCACCTCGCCACTGGTATGAAAATTTCAACTCGGTGATGATTGAACATGGGTACAAGATGACCAAGGCCGATCATTGTGTGTTTTTCTGAAATTTCTCTGAAGGTGATTTCATTATTCTCTTACTTTATGTGGATGATATGCTAATTGTTGGAAAGAATATTTCAAGAATTAAAGAGTTTAAGAACACTTTGAGTGAATCTTTTGCTATGAAGGATTTAGGAGAGGCTAAGAAAATTTTTAGTATTGAAATCTTCGAGATCGAAATGAGAAGAAGTTATACTTGTCACAAGAAATATATGTGGAGAAAGTCTTTCGGTACTTTAGTATAGATAAGGCTAAAGTGGTGAGCATTCCACTCGTCATTTCAAGCTTAGTCATAAACTATGTCAATCTATGGATGAAGATAAGTTAAGTATGAAGAACATTTTGTACTCGTTGGCCGTTGGTAATTTGATGTATGATATGATTTGTACAAGACCCAATATTGCTCATGTCGAGGGAATGGTGAGTCGTTATCTCTCAAATTCGGGAAAAGATCATTGGAAGGTCGTGAAGTGGGTGAAAGGATATTTGTGTGACTCATCGAATTTGAAGCTAACATTGGTATACAAAAAGCCTATGCTGGTTAGGTATACGGATTCGGATCTAGCCGGAAGCTTAGATGATCAAAGCTCCACTTTGGGGTATATGGTGACTTTTATCGGAGAAACCGTGGCTTGGCAATCAAAGTTGCAAAAGTGTGTTGTACTCTCTACTACTGAAGCCGAGTTTATAGACGTTGTGGAAGTGTCAAAAGAGTTGCTATGGTTGAGGAATTTGCAATGGGATTTGGTGTGAAACAAGAAAAGTATGTCTTATTTTGTGATAATCAAAGTATCATTCACTTATCGAAGAAATTCTCCTTTCACTCGAGGTTGAAGCATTTTGATGTTCATTATCATTGGATCCGTGATGCTTTAGATTTCAAGTTGATGGAACTTGAGAAGATTCACACGATGACAATAGTTCGGATATGTTGACAAAGATATTGCCTCAGAAAAAATTTTAGTTTTATCGCACGGTAACGGAATTGATGTTTCCCTCTAAATAAGATGGATAACCAACGTCATTCTTATAAAACTAGTGTCTGAATGAGTTGAAAATCATTTAACTGATGATAATTCTAAGACCTCACTTCTTAGATATGTTCAGAGTTTGTTGATAGATTTTTTTCTTTCTTTAGATGTTTAAGCTAAAGGCCCTCTTTTGTACCTAAAAACAATAGAAAATTAAGAAACCAAAAAAAATGACAAATGATTTAGGGCGTATATTATATTATATAATTGTTATTATAAACTCAACATTTTGTTTATTACAAAACAAAACAAAAAAGTCGTGTAAAAAGGAAAAAATTGGATCCAGACAGATTCCAAGTCAATTTAATACTACCATACTTGTTCAGGCATTTTCTGATACAATAGAATCAACCTTTACATTAACTTTAAGAAAAATCCATAATCAAAAGTCCTTTATCATTTAGAATTCCAAAAGCAAAGAAAATGCCTCGTGGAACGCTTGAAGTTGTTTTGATCAGTGCCAAAGGCCTTGAAGACAATGATTTTCTCTGTAAGTTATAGCAGATTTCAAATTTTGATATTGCATACGTCAACGATTTCGCCTTTTTCATTGAAATTTCTGCATAAAAACCATGGATCCGGAAGTTTGACTTTCAATTTTTGTTCTCAAATTGCAGCTAGCATAGATCCTTATGTGATCCTTACTTACAGAGCACAGGAGCACAAGAGTAATGTGCAAGAAGGTGAAATTCTGAAAAATCTTACTAGTATTTGTATAATTTTCTCTCTAGTAACTTGATTATTGTATTATGAAAATATTAGGTGCTGGATCCAACCCTCAGTGGAATGAGACCTTTCTTTTCACTGTTTCTGATTCTACTTCTGAGCTAAATCTGAAGATAATGGAAAAGGACAACTATAATAATGATGATAATATTGGAGAAGTAACGTGAGTTAAATTCTTCTCTAACTTGTAAATTTTGCTTCAGTGGATCTTCTATACCATCAGAGCAAAATAATTTTACACCGATCTGAGAACTCTAATATTGGCCGATAAACCTACTTTGTAACTGCAATTTAAAAATAACTGCTAAATATGCATTCATCTCTGTGCAGAATTCCCTTGGAGGCGGTGTTTGAAGAGGGTAGACTTCCAGAGAGTGTTTACAAACTTGTGAAAGATGAAGAATATTGTGGTGAGATTAAGGTGGTTCTTACTTTTACACCTGAGGTAATAATAATAATGCTATATAATCTGTTTTTTCTATTACTTTTCTTCATTCTGTTGTGCCTATTTTTCTCCATATTCAAATGTTCTATCAATTATTGGTTGCAGAGAAATGAAGAACAGGGTTACAATGAAGAGGAAGAGAGTGGTGGATGGAAAGAATCAGCTAGTGAATTTTGAAGTGAATCAAGGATTTGCATTTACAAATTTCAAGGTCCGAAATTACGACTATAAAAAAAGTCTCTTCAGTCCCTTTTAAGAATTTTAATCAATGTGTTTTCTGGTGTGATGATATGATAGTGTTCTATTTTAATTTTCAACCAATTTGATATATAAACTATGTTATCCTTTTCATAACATTGTATGCACTAAAATTTATTCAAAAGCAGCCTTATTATATTCAAAAGCAGCTTTAAAATTTATTCAAGACCTTTCAAAAATTCGAAAACAGAAACAGTATAATAAGAGTATGTGAAATAAAGCTGCTGGCAAAAGGATGGTTTATCACAAGTAAACAGAATAATAACGATGAACAGTTAACAGCAAATGGCCGATTAATTGTGTGACTTTACTCGCTCCATCAATTGCTGAGTGTGTAGAGACACCGGCATCTTACTTGGGTATATAATCCCCATCTTTCTCCTCATCATTATTTTCACCAGAGCTGGATGGTATAGATCCATCATCTGAAAGAAATAAATACCGAATCAATTGCCTTATTGACTATGATTAAGCACAAAAATGATGGAAGCGAGCTACCAAGGTTTTAAAAAATGGTTTGTAACCACAATCAGGGTCGTAGCATTAGCCGTGTACTTGGCCGCAGTTTTCTGCAATATTAACAGATTGTGACGCGGCTGTCACCACGACTGCGATTTCAAACCTTGAGTGATACTATGCAGCTTAAATTCTCCTTTTTATTAAATTCCTAATTGTTTAGACCGTGTATAATCCTATGATTTACCTATGCTTCTATGATCATAGACAAACATTATCAATTTTAAAAGTTCTGTTCAGAAACTTACTCTTGGCAGCAGCTAATGAATCTGAGTTTGATGAACGTGGTGGTCTCCCACGAATTGACAGGGCAGCTGATGTCTTCCTACGACCAATGGAAGTTTTTTTCTTCAGCGCTTCGTCTTCCCTTTTTCTAATTGATTTACTACACTGCAAATAGAAAGAAACATTAGATTGATGTTTTAGATTTTCGATGATAGCTTAGCTCAAAACTAAATATAAACAGAAGAAACTTTAAGGATAGGGAACAAATCTACACAAAGGGAACTTAGAAACCGAAATGGAAATCAACTACACAAGTTGAAAAACAATAAAATTAGTATCTAATCTAATAGACTAACAGACTCCAACTGAAAAACTTTAACTCAGAATGAAAATGTATTTGTCATATACGACACATTAGTCACGAGTTTTTTACAGTTGAACTTCTGCAGTGAGTGCGGGAGATCCAAATTTCCAAGAATGTCACACTCTTCGACTCCAGCAGTACAGTAACCACATTGAAACTTAATAAAGCATTCAACAAAATCATTTGACACATTTTCATGAGGCATATTTAAAATATTACATGTCTAAAATGTAAGAATCTTTCACAAAATTGATGGGAAATTGTGGGCCTGATAATACCAACACATTCAGCTGATATGATGATCAGGAAAAATGAAATTCAACTCACCAGTTTGTAGGCGCCAACCTGATTTCGCTTAGCATAATTCACATAGCGGATGAGATTAGGATATGTATAGAAATGTTGCCCAGTGTCAGGACAATAATAAGACTGCAACAGAAAAATAAAATACAGTCAGTGATAGACATTCATACAAAAAAGAAACATTGGTGGAGATTATTTAAAAATTCATTTCCTTTCTTTCTACGTCTAATATTTTCATACACTATTATGTCGCACATGTTTGAAACACTGGCACCTGTGCGACACTCTTTATGCTGCACATGTTTTCAACATTGGCCTGTAGACACACCAAGCATGCCTAGTACACCTCTTGGACACTAAATCCACACAAAATGGCTTGACGCTTAAGGAACACACCAATCTAATAAAAACTGATTTAAAATAACTGTTGGGGAGTCCGGGGAGCGCCAAAACATTAAGGCGTTAGGCATATGAGTCATTTCTCTTATATATCCAACATTTCCTCCATTTCTAGTCGATGTGGGACTTTACCACACACTTGAAACCCAACAATCTCCCCCACGAGATAATCATGATCAAAAAATCATACATGAATGGTTGAGAGTAACTATTCTAATGCTCCCGACTAACAGTTCCACGCAATCATGTATTGTGTCCCGGGTATACATTGTTTGTATCAGTTTAGTTGTGTGTCAGTGTTGTGTTGTGTGGTGTTTGTGTTTGTATTTGTGCCTCATAAGCACCACGCAAAGGCAATATATTGCTCAATCAAAGGAAGATAGTGGTGCTCGAGGCATAAAAATTGGAAAACAGAGAAAGCTCCTTTAAACCAAGAAATATATTCAGTAGTTTAAGGCTTGAAGCACAAACTTAACTACATTAAAAAAAAAATTATAAAAAATTAAGGGTATCCTAACGAGTAGACAATGATAGACAACAGGACAGGGGCCATAGACGCAATCTAGGACAATTTAGTCAGAATCAAACTGCAACATGATAGAACTTAAAGAATTCCGGTTCCCTTCCTTTAATCAAATACAAACTGAATCAGCAATGGCGTAAAAGGTGGTTCGAGCAATGGCATAAAAGATTTCAAAGCAAATCAAAATCAGCAGCATAATCTGAATTCATAAAATGATTTGAGCCATGATCGATATCAATAAATATCAAAATCTTAAATGCCACTACTAGATTCCAAAGCAAATCAAAATCAGCAGCATAATCTGAATTCATAAAATGAAATAAACTGAATCAGCAATCACGTAAAAGATGATTCGAGCCAAGATCGATGTCAATAAATATCAAAATCTTGAATGTCACTACTAGATTTCAAAGCAAATCAAAATCAGCAGCATAATTTGAACTCATAAAATGAAATAAACTGAATCAGCAATCGCGTAAGAGATGATTCGAGCCATGATCGATATCAATAAATATCAAAATCTTGAATGTCATTACTAGATTTCAAAGCAAATCAAAATCAGCAGCATAATCTGAATTCATAAGTTGAAATAAACTGAATCAGCAATCGCGTAAAAGATGATTCGAGCCATGATCAATATCAATAAATATCAAAATCTTAAATGTCATTACTAGATCTTGATAATTTTACCCTAAAAACATAAACAGAAAATCTAAAGTAGAAGTTTTAGTACCCTTTTTATGGGACCATTCTTTTGAACTTCTGACTTAACACTCCATCCAGTCGGAATTGTTGGACCTTCATCTCCCTTAGGTGGACTTTTCTCTGCCTTGGGTGGACTCTTCTCTCCCTTACGTTCCATATAATCAACGGACTGTTCCCTCGAAATGACACTGCGAAAGGTCTATTCCTCCGCCCACCTTGTTTGAAATATTTTTTAACCTAGGTTTATGTTAAGCAGACAACAAAGGGGAAAGACAGCAAATAAAAAGGGGCCTCCTCCAAAGCCACGTGTTCCCATTCTCGCACGTGCAATCGTGTCAACGATCGAATCATGGTCCAATTTTACAATTTACTTAACATTTTCGGATTACCTATGATATGCATTGTACTAAACAAAATATTTATCATCAGCCGGAAGATTTATGAACCGATACCAATCAGAGCAATACATTCCAAAATACGTGAGTCATATTACCATTTCTGTTAACAAATCAATTATAGTACCACACAAAAAATCAAAAGTAAGAGGCAGTCTCTTGAAATCACTAATCTAAATTTATAAAAAAAAACATTGTTGTTGTAATACAACAGCCAAAAAAGAGTGCGAAAAATCTTAAAAATCAAGCACATGCAAATGAACCGAACATCAATATGATGTCATCTAAGATCCTTACCCATTGACACAGAAAAAAGTTTAGAATAATGAAGGAAATAGCCACAGAAATAAAACGCTATGGTCAAATATATGAATAAATAACTATAACAATTGTTTTGCCCCAAACAAAAACTTCCATTAAATGTTGAAAAGGAATTCCGGCGAAAATAAAATACTACGCCGCTTAGTTGTTAGTATCATTCAAAATCATAACACAATAAGCAATCAAAAATCAAAAAGGTTACCTCTAGAGAGACAGGGACAACCCTATGCATGATTGTCAACTCATTTCCACAATGGAGACGCCGTATAACACATATACCTCTTTGGACATTCTAGTATACTTCTCTTACAATGCTACATTCTACCCTGACAAAGGTAAATCAAAATCGAATTCCTTCAAATGAGACCCACAAGAAACCATTTCATTCATATTAACCTCCTAGAACTTCTTTTTTTTAAGTAAGAAAAGAGACAACATTTCATTTCATATGATAAAATTTATACAAAAATAGAAGGTAACCGGGTGGCAGGCTGCGCCGCTACTCCTTTCTGGATGGTAAAACCAATCTTTTTAAACACTAAATTCATAATCAGATACAACATTGTTATTCATAAACCTTTAGACTCTATTTAAAAGATCAATTGTAAAAGATCATTTTAAAAACTACATTCATAGACCTAGAACTATAACCCCATAACAACAATAATAAAATTATAAAACACTCAAATTCCAACTAACAAATTTTGACACTCTTCCCACTTGATGACAAATAGCAACTAATGAATTTGATTAATAGTAAATTGAAAATAAAGAACCCTAATAATGATGAAAAGGTTAATCACAATAGAGGATTCGCCCTAATTTTGCTTGTTATACAAACTAAAACATGAATAATTATACAATGAACATGAATAGTTGTTAAAAATGGTATAATTAGAACAAATGCGCACTCGATTGAGTTGATATAGTTATCATTTTTTTTTCACATGAAAAAGAAGAGAAACATCATGTAGAAGAAACATATTGTACTGCGTTGGTGGGTTGGGAATGAAAGGAAGGTGAGGCGGAGATGGTGACGGCAGCGGAGCGGTGGTAAAAGCCGTGAGGCGGCGATGTCGGAGAAACGAAGGCGGCGATGTCGGAGAAACGAAGGCGGCCGCTCATTGCGGTGGAAGTAAAAAGGTGATGCTTCGATGGTTTCACATAGAATTCCTGCCATCTGTTGTATTCAAATTATACATGGCAACGAAACCTATATATATTGATCTTCAACCCCTCCGTTGCTATGCCTAATTCAAATGATTAACTAGACATTCGATTCTTAAGCGAAATAAAACAACAAAACTATCAAAAGAAAATGAAAATGAATAATTAAATGTAAAGTTAGAGATACACTTGTCATTTCTTAATAGTCACTTATAGAAGTGTTACATTCGAATATTTTCTTTATCTCAAACTAATTTTCTCGTTAAATATCAAATATCATATTTCTTTATTATTTAACTTTGATAACTCACATAAATTGAGCAAGAATCATTATACCTCGTTCATTAGAGATACGCACCTGAACACTCGTTGTGAATCGATATGCCGTGAAATCCTTCATATGCATGACATTCCATTGAATCTGAGTCTAAAAAGGTGGTGCAAGTTTCACAAAGTCAATGGAAACCACACAAAAGATTGTTATCAACTCAAGGAGATAAATCGTCTCGTTCAAGAGGTCCATTTGAAAACATGTGACAGTGGAAATGTCACTCAAGCACTACACGGATCCAACTCTTAAGGATGAGATGCCTCTGAGAATTCTAGACCGAAGAAGGGCAAGAAGTCAAGCAAGGGGGCGAGGTGCGTCACACCCTTAACATGATAACGAGAGGATTCACCTAGGGCGGGGGAGACCAATTCTTCCCGTAAGAGATACGTCTCTCAAATCCTAATCATTGAAGGCTCATCTACTAGCTTTGACTTGGGAAAAATAAGAGCCCCAAAATCTGATATTACCTTCTCCAAGAAGGACGCAACAGGTACCCATCAGCATGACAACGACACCATGGTCATAATCATAAAGTGTGATGACTATGAGATCAAGAGAATGTTGATTGACCAGGGAAGCTCTGCAAACATCCTTTATTGGAATGCTTTTGAAAGAATTCGTTTAGATATGGACAACCTTAAGGCTTTCCAGGGCTCATTATTTAGGTTCTCAAGCGAGCAAATGTGGGTAAAGGGTTATGTTATCTTGACAACTATGTTTGAAGTCGAGGAGAGCGCAAGATTAATCAAAGTAAGATACCTAGTTACATACGCACCTTCTTCATATAATATGATTATAATGTGGCTTTCTTTCATCTCGCTTGGGGCAACATCAACATTTTGAAGTCATATTCATCAATTGATCAAGGGTTGATCATAATTCCTTAAGAAAAACATTCAAATCATCAAAGGGGCAAAATTGACCAAATTAGGGTTTTGACTGAGAATGACTGATCATTGACTTTTGACCTAGTACATGATCTAATGACTTGAAGCATGATCTTAAGGATTCAAACACAATATCTTGACCTAATTTCATGGCTCAAATCATTTCTCAAGATCAAGGGATTGATAGTTGAAATTTGGATCAATTGATGAAAAGTCAACTGACACACAAAAGTTAAACTTTGACTTTTTAGTCAACATTGAATTTCAAAGATCAAGATTCATCAAGACATTCAAAAATATCAAACTTAATCATCAAAAATCAACAAAGTCAATAAAAGTCAACAAAAAGTCAAGATTTCCAATACTTAGAAAAATTCTAAGTGTTTTTTACCTTGATAATTTCACTACTTCATGACCATTTTTCACCAAGATGCAAGATGATTCAAGGAAAACTTTCAACATGAAGTTGTAGATCTTGATGAATTCTACAACTTTGTCCTTGAGGGTTGATGTCCAAAAAATGCTTGGATTAGAAGATATAGGCCCATGAAGTCATGGCATTTTTATCAAAACACTTAGTGAAATTTTCAACAAGTTTGGCCAGGTTTTTATCCCAGCTTCTTGGCAATTTTTCACCAAGTTCTGAGTTGATTTAGCCAAAATGGTCAACATGAAGTTTGTAGACAATGTTTCAAGCTTTCCAAAATGTCCAAGAACTTGAAGAGATCATGTTTGATCTAAGAGATTCGAAGAGTTGAAATTGAGCATTCATTCTTGAATTACAAGGAATTTTCATGAAGAACACATGATCAAATCTCAAACCTATGTTGCATAATCTTGCTTTGCAGGCTTCTAAATTGCAAATCACTCAATAATTTAATGTTTACACAACTTATTGATCCATTGTCCAAGTGATTCAAGTTTTGTCCAAGTTAACTTGCTATTTAGGGAAGAAAGCCAAGACTTCCATTTTGGAAAAGTGGCTTTAATCACAAAGTCCACTCTCCTTGAGCCTTGCACTCGTTTATTCTGAACATACACAATGTCAAAGCCAGAAGCAACATATCTAAAGCCTCTATCCATTTCAGATCATGCTTGTATTATGCCTTGTAACAATGTAATCTCAATGTTGCTTAAAAACTAAGTTTCATAGCCATAACCTTGCAACTTGCAAATCTGATGTTCTCCTTCCCTCAAACCTTTTCTCTATAAATAGAGAGGTTATTTATAAGATAAAGCACGAATTGAATATCCCTCTAACCCCCTCAAACTCCCTAAAATCAGAATTGACATCTAAAACCTCCATTGTTGCATATTCTGACTTTGAATTCCGAATACACAATCCACTCGTGCGTTTTCACTTTTAATCAATCACAAAGTTCCTATAACTCATATAGAGGCTATCCAAACACTTGCTACGCAGCTGTAACGCCATCTTCATCATCCTCCATTTCCAAAAACAGTCACCTGCAACTTGACTTTTCCATAAGAATCCAGCCACTCTCAATTAAAAGTAAGCATTGCAATAGCTTCCTAGGAGTTCGGTGAAGCTATCTAGATCATCACAACACCTCCAGAAGTGCTTAAACTCCAAACACGATTTCCATTTTTGCCAAAGGATCCTCATCGCTACGAGGTTCGTCATCGTGATGGGCGGCCGGTGTGACACCCCAAATAATCCGATTATTAAATAATTAGAATTTTTAATTATTAATTTAATTGGAAATTTAATTATTGGTATTTTTGGATTATTGGAATTAATTTAATTAATTAAAGGAAAGAAGTATTGGTGGTGTGAAGAGTGATTAGAGGGTGTGAGGGGTAAAATACTCTACTCTTACTAATTACTAATTTAATTATTTTATTGGAATAATAAAAGGAGTATTAAAAGGAAAAAGAAGAGAAAGAGAGTTATTTTGGAATATTCATCATACGTGCATTTGAGAAGAGGAAAAAGAAGGAGAAAACCGGAAGCGTCAGAATTCGAAGAACCCACAAGGTAAGGGGTGATTTCGATTAGTTAATTCGTATTATTGGTTTAGATATTCAATAGTAT